ATACCCTGCCATTCACTAGGTATTGTTGGAGTTCGTTTTGAGCAAGCCAACTCCAGAAACAAACAAAAACCGATGCGTGGTCATGTCGTATGCTGTGTGCCTGCGAATCACCCTCCGCGCAGGAAGACAGACAGCCAAGCACGGACCCCTAGTTGATCTTCGCCGATTTTCCGAGTTGCTCGCGAGTTGATCTTTCCCTGGTCCAAGATCAGGCACGGGTTCATCCCAGCCCCAGCAAAAGCCACCAGACAAGGTGTGCATCAAAATAGCTATAGGATAGGCTAAGGATTTAAGTCCGCCATCCACCCAAGAGCTAGCACACTTCTGGTGAAAGGATGCCCCTTCCTACTTGAGTGAGACTGCAAAGCCAGCCTTCAAAGAGACAGTTCCAAGCAAGTAGTATTTCGGTTTGATCGGTGTCAAGACTGCTGGAACGCTTTCATCCACCTTTGCCTGAGGCAGAACAATGGCAAAGCGAGATTCGGCAAGGGGCACTCAGTTGTTGGACAGCATGAGGTCATCACAAAAACCCTAATGGTCAAATAGTAATATACATTATCTAGATGATGATTTTTTGTAACCGTTGCACCTCCCAAACGATACACGCGTTGCTTCCTCGCGGAAGCTGTGAGAACTTGGAGCGATAGACAGCCCCCCAATTGCGCTGCCCGCATGTTGATCCTCTCTGTGTCATTTCCCAAGTCCTTCGCGACGAAGGCATTGACCATGGGGTTGCAAGACACGGTGTAGCGGTACTGCAACATGCGGTTGTTTCCTTCCTCCGAGACCTTCGCAAAAGTTGGAACCAACCCATGTTTGTTGCATTTAGCGTTGACATATGTTGACAGCATTTGTCACTTTAGTATCTTTAGTTTCACTGCAATTGCATCACGCCTGTGGTCTCAAGCTGTGGTCCACCACCCTTACTTCAGTGACACCTCGATGCTTGGCCACGTCACAAAAGATGTCTGCCACGGTGCGCAGGTGCTTGTCCAAAGCTAGCAGCGTTCGGTCATCCTTGATGATCCAGGGTAAATGGCCATCAACACAGTCTCCTTCTCCTTGACGCTTTTACATGCATGGTTAGCGCTAGCTTTACAGTCGATGTGGAATGACTTTTGGCCACTACAGTCCTGAGGGAACCTCTGAAAAGCTTCCTGTGTTAAATCCGAACAGTTCCCCGGCAGGGATGTCCACTTCACGGCTGCCCACATTGCGCAGCCACACCGAATTGTCCTTGCCAACGCAAATCTTGACACCTTGCACCCGTGCGAGGTCAGCCGAGGCAATGGTCCTGAATGTGTGAGCAAACCCAGTCCACTGAGATTGACATGTTTCTTGTTTTCGTTTTTTATTTGAACTTGAAATCGTGGGATCATTCTTGAAAACGACACAAAGGAGACAGAAAAGAACAAAGGGATTCAAAATGAATGTAGAACTGTGAACTGAGCAAATCTCAGTGACTCTGTAGAACTCTCAAAGCCACTGGTAGGCAAGGGAGTCAAGGCCAGTTTCCTGCGGATGTTGATGGGCGGATTGGTGCCCCACTCTGGCGAAGCCAAGGTCCGAGTCTGGTTCTCTGGGGCTGAAGCAGAGGTAGAAGCTGCAGGACTGGCAGTTCCCAAATGATGCGATCTCAAGGCCGTGGACAAATCTGCATGGTCATCGAGCTTGGACATGGCCTCCTTCAATCCTGCTTGCCCAGCATACTTCTGTTGTATCAAATCAGGGATCCTTAGATTCATGCAATCTCATTCACAACGAATCCTCGAATCAAACCGCCAGCACATGCATAACATAGTTCCATAGACGCTTCCATAAGACATACCTGCACACTTGCCTACCGACCTACATACAGACATGCGCATAAAACGGAAACACAAACATAGTGGCATCCACACAACTGCATCCACACATGCATATCACACAATAGATTTCAAGTATACCGATACTATGATCCTGATGTGGCACTAATTCATTCAAAGAGCTTGATCTCCCCATCCACCACTGACAAGCATTCCAAGCTTGGAAGCTCCTGGTGAAAGCCGCTTGCGGATCGACTTTTGGGACCAGCTTTCTCGCATCTGTCCCAGAAGCCAGCCAAAGCTTTGCCAGCCAAAAGATCCACAGAGGCGGTGAGCTCCTTCGCATTGTCATCGTGGTAGACCCCCATAAACCTGACATCCACAGTGTCCTCTTCCAACAAGTAGGCCTGCTGCATCTCCCAGCATGCCAGCGACCACTCAGCAAATCTGCCATAAGCTTAATAAGCAATGTTTCAATGACTTTGTTTAATTTGGGTTGCTTGGGACACCGTGGGCTGACATGGCAACACACGCTAAATGCGATTTGGTTCACTGGATGTGCCTGGAGGGCAGCAAATCGACCACCAACAGCTTTTGTGTATCGTTAGCGACACCATCAATGAGTTGCTTGATGATGGACACCGTGGCTTTCACTCCACGTTGCTGCACCTAGGATTTGCTTGAAGGTTTTCAATTTTGGGCACTGTATTTGAAGGGCATGATATGGCATGATCCATGTAGTCATGAACCTTCGGAACACTCTTTCTGATCCTTAAGTTCAGGCTAGAATCGCGCCAATGAGGCGCAAGCGAATGTTCTGGATCTGGG